TGGATCTATATAGTTCAAGCAAAATTGGATGTCCAATTCTGATTGAAAATGTCTACTTAGTCCAATTGGCAAATATTCGATTTAGAATTCTGATCGCGTCGATTCTTTACTATAACAGGAGTTCACTGTAACTAGAATGGGATGAATCATATCATAAAATAATTTCTTTTAGGGCAAAGCAGTTTTTATTCATGGGGGCATACTAATAAATTTTTCAATAAACAAATTTAATTTTTTTTTTTATTTGATTTGGTTATCATATTGTTGTTTTATGCTGTAATGAAAAGATTGTTTGTACCAGTACCATGTTTATGTATTGTGTATCTATGCAATCAACACATAATCTTGTTCACAATGACAGAATTTCAGATCTTGTGTATGGTTTCCACGGATTTCAGGTCAACCCGCATAATTTATTGCTAATTCGTAGGAAATTAATACTAATTTATTATCATTGTTAGTGAATTAACATGCACATATAGATGTGAGCATGTAGCATATTTTATTTGAGAACAGGGCGGGAATAGGCATTATTAAATTTTCTAGGCACAGGCACCCGCATGCGGCATATCAAACCGGTTGTGTTCTAAAACTAACTTATGTGTATCGGTATTACTATTGTACATATACATATAAAATTTGTTACTGTTAATAAGTCGAATTTATCTCAGGTGTGTACAGTACGTACGTACGTATATGAATTTTAAATTATATAGCGATAGTATATAAGTTGGCTAAGCTGATTTTTTGAAAAATCGGCTGACTTAGCCAGCTAAGTCAAAAAAATCGACTAATACAAAATCGACTACAAACACTAAAAATATATAATTGCAATCTACTAGGCTATCCAAAAATAGAAGATATAAACAATATCAATTTTTTGATAGAAGTAAGCTATTTTGCCTATATATTTTTACAAAAATTTTATTGCAAATACAAATGAGTAATAGTAAAAAAAATACTATGAATCTTGTTGTATTTTATTAAAAAAAAGTATATTTTTTCCCAAAAGCAATAGGACAAGTAAGTCTGAGCACGCTGCTAATAGTTTTTTTGATAAGTGATAAACTTTAAACTTATTAACAAGTAGCATATAAGAACTACTTTTACAGTAAATAACAAGTGCTATTTTTATGATAAGTGATAAGCTTTAAACCTATTAGCAGTATATGAGAACTATCTCTAAATAATAAGTGCCAGTTTATGGTTCTAATCAGTCTTTTTGTTGTCTTTCCCCTCATATCTCATATTTTAGATAAGAAATTTTGGTACAAAGAATTATTAAACAGAGTTGTCTTATACTATAGTATATATTAAAATGTTAATGATAAAATTGCCCTCCCCATCTCTAAATAAATAAATAAATATATATTATCAACATTGTATACAATAACTGATTTGTAACGAAGCGAAACCACTTTTTTTACGGAATACAAAAATAACTCGGAAGAAACCACCTAATTAAATGTTTTTCGTGAAATTTTATTTTACAGGGGTTTGGTGAGATCTATCCCTGTTTCGGTACGTACGTACATAATTGGCCAATAAATAATCTACTCTGATGATGTAATTAGATAGCATAGCGATAATATTTTCACAATGGATACTGAAGAAAGCATACGGGAAGAAGCTCTTGGTTCTGAAGAGGAAGTTGGTTCTGGTGATGCCACCGAGGAAGGGGAAGACGATTCTTTTGAAGAGTCTTCTGAAGAAGAAGAATCTTCGGAGGGTGAATCTATAGAAGAAGATGAAGAAGAACCAAAATTGAAATATAAGCGCATTGATGCCGGTGAACTGTTGAAAAAAGACGCTGCAAGTACAATGGCTGTATCAGATCGCTTTGTGGTATGAACCAATTTAAGGTTAAGCAATCAAATTTTTCCTTTGATCGTTTCAATTAAACTTTATATTTGAAGGCTTTGGGTACACACAATGGAGATGTCTTCATACTGGACTTTGAAGGAAATTTGATCAAACGATTTTCTTCGCATTCGGCAACCGTCAACGATCTGTCAATAGATACTGCTGAGGAATATGTTGCCAGTGCTTCAATGGATGGTATATATTAGTTTTACTTTGTTTTTAAATTTTGGTTTTGGTTTTACATTTATATGTTATATTCATTTTATTAAATAGGCAAAGTCGTCATTCATGGAATGTATGTTGACTCCACCCAAGTTTTTAACTATCGACGCCCACTTAAATGTGTCGCGCTCGATCCTGATTTTAGCAAGAAAGATACCCAACAGTTTGTATCTGGTGGCTTGGCTGGTCAATTGATCTTGAATGAAAAAGGTTAGAAAAATTAATTATATTTGAGTGACAGTAAGGAAAAACTTGTAAATCATGTTTTTTTTTTTTGAATATTTACTTTTAATAAAAATATCCTTGAAAAAACCATGCTATAAAATACTTATTTTTTTATTAAAGTAAATATCAAAAAGTATAATTTACATGTTTTCCCTTACCGTCACTCATTTATTTTTGTTAATTTTTATAATAATCAGTGCACAATATCTGATTTTATAGGTTGGTTTGGTCAGAAGCAAGACAAAGTGCTTCAACATTCTGGGGAGGGACCAATATATGCTGCAAGATGGAGAGGGACATTAATCGCTTACGCTAATGACGAAGTATGAAGTTAAATTTTTTATTTAATTAATAGCTTCTTTCGCTATGGTATTAAAAGAAAATTTTTACTTTTAATAGGGTGTGAAAATGTACGATACTCAATCACAACAACGAATTACTTACATAAGACGACCTCAAAATAGTCCAAGAGCTGATTTATATCGTTGCAATCTTTGTTGGCGTAATGACACTCAGTTGTTAATAGGTTGGGCAAATTATATTCAAATAGCTAGTGTCAAAGTAATTCCGATTCTTTTTTTTTTTTTTTTTTATACAAATATTAGTAATATTAACATTATCATATTTTTTAGGAACAAAATATATCGGGCCATCCACCACTCTTTGCTGAAGTTAACATGATATTGAACACAGACGATTACGTTGTGTGTGGTCTTGCACCATTTGGTGATATGACATTAGTATTGGCATATCTTATTAATGACAACGTAACAAATGAGGATTCAGATGATCCGGAACAACATAAACGCCCCGTAAATATCTGATATTTTGTTCTCATTTGAACTGTCAAAAATTATTATTTTAAAAATTTAAACAAATTATATATAGACCGCAAAACGTCCTGAACTTCGAATTATGAATTCATCTAATGAAGAAATTTCTATTGATGCATTACCACTTCATGGATTTATGCATTATCAAGCAAACGATTACGTGCTTGATTATTTTCCATCTGAAGATATGTTTTACGTTGTAAGTCCAAAAGATCTTGTATTAGCGAGGCCACGCGATTCCGATGATCACGTTGGTTGGCTTTTGGATCGTTATAGATATGAAGAAGCTTTAGAAGCACTTCAGGAAGCTCAGGCTTGGGGAGGTAGTAAGGCTTATGACATAAATGAAGTTGGAGAAAGATACTTGGCATATTTAATTAAAAAAGGTATGATATTTTTGTTGCTTAACTTTTAAATTTGTTAATCTCATTAAAAGACTTGCATTATAATAATATATATTTTTTAATTAGAGGATTATGCAAAAGCTGCAGAAAATTGTAAAAAAGTTCTTAAATCAAATAAAGAATTATGGGAAAAATGGATTTTCACGTTTTCCGAATTGAGACATCTAAAGGTTAGCATAAACGATAAATAATGTGTTATTTAAATTATTTTTTTAAACAATTTTATTGAATTTTTTGTAGGAAATCACACCATTTATACCATTTAAAGAACCACAACTCAGCAGTACTATATATGAAATTGTGTTGGCATATTTTTTGAATTACGATCATAAGGTAAATTTATATTATGCAACTTAAAGATTTTAATTTTACAATATTTTATTAACTCTTTCTCAGTCTTTATATGAAACTATAACGAATTGGCCACCAACAATTTATAATATTCAAAGTATTATTGAACCTATTGAAGATGTTTTGGAAAAAGAGCCTGAAAATAAAACTTTAATGGAATGCCTGGCTGAACTGTAAGGAATAATATGTCTTTTTTTCTCTTATTACTACTATTACTATTGGTTTAACTGCTCCTTGTCGTTATAGATACGCTTACAACCGTGAACCTGAAAAAGCACTTGAATATAATCTTCGTTTGCGCAGGCCAAACGTTTTTGATTTAATAAGGAAATTTAACTTATTCTCAGCTGTACAAGACAAAGTAGTTCTTTTGATGGACTTTGATCTGTCAGAGATCCAAAAGGAAAAGGATGAACAAAATCGTACACCAGTCAATATAAAGAATATGCCAGCAGTCCAGTTATTAATTGAAAATACTGATTCAGTTCCTGTATGTTTTAATTTTATTTTATTATCTAATTTCAAGTTACTTCTGATGTAAGTTATATTTGAACATTAATCATTTTATTAAAATAGATTGGCCATGTTGTTAGCCAATTACAATCCCGTCGTTATTTCTTGCACATTTATTTGGATGCACTATTTACTCGGGATCATCACATAGGATTTGAATTCCATGACCTTCAAGTAAGTTTATAATGTATTATCTTACTCATTTCAATATATATATAGATAGATAGATTAAAGATTATTTGTCGCTTTAAAATTTTAGGTAGAATTATATGCAGAGTATGATTATCATAGGTTAATAGAATTCTTGCGTACCAGCAATTACTATTCTCTAGAAAAGGTATGAATGTTCAAAATTAGTATATATTGGTAGTAGATTGTATTTAATTTTTGGTTTAAAAAAAATTCAAACAATAAAAAAAAACAGGCGTATGAAATCTGTAAACAAAGAGATTTAGTTTCAGAAATGGTGTTTATTCTTGGTCGTATGGGTAATAATAAACAGGCCTTAATGTTAATTATAGAACGATTAGGAGATGTTCAACGTGTAAGTAGATAAAAATAATCATTATTCTTATCTTGGCTCATTTATTCGACTACATAAAATTTTATCCATGAACCTGTTAGGCTATCGATTTTGCTAAAGAACAAGCCGATGAATATTTATGGGAAGATTTATTGACATATTCATTAGACAAGCCACGTATGTGTACAAATCATTAACCAGTGTTTCGCATGTCTTTAAAAAAAATAACATTATTGTTTACGTATATGACAGGTTTTATCACCGGCTTATTGGATAATCTTGGTAGCATTGATATTGATCCAAAACAACTAATCAAAAGAATTCCTAATGGCTTAGAAATTGTTGGACTTAAGCAAGCTTTAATTAAAGTCCTCCAAGATTTCAACTTACAGGTTTAAACATATTTTTACTGTATTGCTATTTATTATTTTGAAATATATATATATATATATATATAATCTATTTTTGATCTAGGCATCTCTAAGAGAAGGATGTCAAAAAATATTAGTGAGTGACAGTGTGTCTATGGCTAATCAACTTCATCGAGCACAAAAGCGTGGAATTTCGTGTAGAGGTACGTTTAATTATTTATTCCTTATATAATTGTTTAATTCTGTCAACATAAATAATAATGAATATTTGCATTTAAAAGATGACATGACATGCAGCGTTTGCTCTACACCCATAATCAAAGATGGTAATTACGAATATTAAATATCCTAAATTTTTATTTCAAGATTCGCAAAATTATTCCTTTAATATAATGGATTCGTTATTTTTTTTTTAAAGCTAATCTGCCAGATGCTGCTACTACACACTTAATATTCTTTTGTGGTCATGCTTTCCATGAAAAATGTCTTTTCGAAAGCGATGCAATTCCGAAACTACCAGAAAACTTTAATAAACCACATTCTGTTGGTACCAAAGTCCGTCACGTATCTCTTCTTCAGTCGATGATACCTAGGCCGCGATGTCCAATTTGTAATGAATCAAATCAAGTTGCCAAACAAAAGGAAAAGCCTGCTAGAATTCGTGGTTTTGTTCGTAGTACAAAGGATGACGATGGGATGCCTCCAATGGTTCCCCTAAGACTTTGAAATACTTTGTATATAGATTAAAAAAGTTGTGAATTGAATTTTGGGAGGGTTTTTTTTTTTTTGTTTGTTGATCGAACATTTGCAATCATGTTTGTTAATTTTCCTGTTTGTTTATTATGTATTTTAAATTATTACTGTTTTTAAATTATATACTAACATTACACACTCATTAGCTTTGTCTTATTTTAAGATTCATTGATTTAAGTGAAATTTAGGAAACCTTGATTTTCATGTTTTTAATGATGTGGTTTAAATAATAAAATTAATATCGATAACAACTAAGGAAGCTTGGAACATTAAAGTTCAGAGTCATGTTTTCATAACAGTTTTTCATCCAATCAGAATATACACATTCTGAAAAACTGGACATGTTTTCATAATTATGCCTCTGTGGCCATGTAATTTTAAATAAATTTAAATTGAGCCATCCCAATAATCTAATTTGAATAAACTTTTATTTGGTAGAGCCAATAAGATTTATGAAATAAAAGAAAATTTATTCAAATTGGATCATTGAATTTATCTAATCGGTATAGTTATGGAGATCACTTTTCTATCAAAGACTCCATGTATTTCAGTACTGTACGTTTCTTTGCTTTGTATCACTGATAATCCGTACACGACTATCGAAATAAGTAGAAAGGCTTAATACTACCATATGAGTGTCGCTAAAAGAAAATCCGAAAATTTAAATATGATTTATATTTAAATTTTTGGGTTTTCTTTTAGCAACACTCATATACGTAAAACATAACTTATACGTGGATCTAAAAATTATCGTTATTAAGTCATTTGTGTTAATACAGCACTAGTGATGCCGATTAAATTTTTATGGCTCGGCTAAGCCGTTAAATTTTTATTGACTTATTCGTTTAGCCAAAAATTAGTGATTTCACAGTTTATTTAAAGAGTTTCTTAATTTTTGTTTAGTGTTTGACAAATTTGGTATCTTTATTGATTATTATGATTAGCCGACTGATAAAACTATCAGCCAGCTAAAAAGCTAAACGGCTGGTTTAATCAACTTGAATACTAACAGTCAAGTGAATGTCAAAAATTTTTCAGGTAATGTAAAATTTATGACGATCTATATGTTTTGTGAAAATAGATAATTTCACCACCAAGCTAACATTTATACCTTACAATATAAATTGGCATTCTTTTTATAACAAAAAATTTTTATTATTTCATATTTTTATATTATCTATATTTTTCCATTTACTCCCTAAATCTTTTGAAGTATCTTATTTTGAAAATGGCGTATTGAGACTACAGTCAGACCCCCCTAAGTGCACATTCCCTAAGTGCACGGTATATGAAAAACTCCTCTGCACGCCTCTGCTTGGTCCCAACTCATATAAAAATTATAAAATTTAATCTCCCTAAGTGCACACCTCCTCTAAGTGCACATTTTGCATTTTTTTCACTATGGTCCCGAGGGGAGTGCACTTAGGGGGGTGCGACTGTATATAGATTAAAAATAATGAAGTTTAATAATCATGGTTTGACAAATTTTATTGATCGTAAATGTGTATACAGTATATTTGGGTTTTGGTAATTGTTCAAATGAAGTAGAAACCCAAACTACTGTATGTAATAATATCGAATTCAAATTCAAAAAAAATTGGGGTTTATTTATAGCTATAAACTTCTACAGTCAAACCTCCCTAAGTGCACTTCTCTAAGTGCACGGATTATGTAAACTCTCTAAATGCACGGTATAGTCAGATCCCAGCTTATAAGAGCTCTATATATTTTGCTCTTTATAAATGCACATCCTCTCTAAGTGCACACCTTTCAATTTTTTTTCCTATGGTTCCGAAAGGGGTGCACTTAGAGAAGTCTGACTGTATAAAATAATTAAAATATTTTTGAAGTATAATAATATAGTTTAGTGAACCAAAATTTTGTTAAATTATTATTATTCAAAATTTTTTTAAAAAGATATTTAATCCGACCACATTATTAATAATAGTTCGGAACGTAGTAAAAAACTTATTCGAACAAGTCAGATTTTTATTTTTAGATCAGTTTACTAATGTCACGCTAATGTCTATTCCTATTTTTAGCCAACCATTCTCCGAGTTAACGGCGCAAGTTTCCTAGTTTGTAAAACTGTCAGGTTTATATTGTTCAAGGCTTTGATGGTAATTACGTCATCGCCTGATAATCACCACTCGAGTAGCCCAATCGCTGTAAGCTATCGGATAATACCGTTATTGGAGCGTAGCATCCAATAACTTAACTGGCTGTAAAATTCAATGTAGTATTTTTATAAATGACTCCTGTAATTTGCTTAACTACGTGCGAATAAAATTTGGCGATAATCGACCTTAAAAGATAGGTTAAAAATCAGGTATATACTATGAAAAAAAAAAACCAAAAAATTCTGCATAAAGATGTATGGGCATACATACTTAGGTATAGCAGATAAAGAAAAAAAAGCAGATTCCTTTAGAGTACGTACTATCGCTATTACCTAAAGCAGGCTTAAAGATTCACGCAGATCGTTGAGCATATATGTAAATACGTTACATATGTACACCACTTAATCGTGTAACTAAATATATACAATACCATGAAGGGGGAAGTATAAACAAATACGATATCCAATAAACCGAAAGGCGAATCCATCCGAGGAAATCACGCATAAATTAAGGATATAAATAATATCGATAAATAATATTGTTTGATTATAAAAATTGAATTATTTATAGAAATTATGCGCATGATGTAACACAAAATCTAACAAAGTTGCATTTTAGGTATAAAAGGCCATTTATTTCAATCGATTTTTTAATGAAATGTTTTTTGAAAAAAAATTTTCTTAAATAAAAAAAGTTTAAAATGACACAAGTAACAAAACTTAGTAAATTACATTATTACTCTGATGGAGATATCATAATAATAGTGGGTAAAACCAAATTTTTATTACACAAAACAATAATCGGTCTTGCTTCAAAAGTATTCCAAGACATGTTTTCGTGTGCATCACCATTTACAAATGAAATTCCGGAAATAACATTAGAAGATGAATCACCGATAATATTTGAAGAGCTTATATCATACATATATCCAGATACATATGTAAGCATAAATTGGAATAATGTAAGTGAATTTTTAAGAATAGCGGATAAATATATAATGGAATCGATTTTAATGGCATCGAAAGCATTTCTTGAGCGAGAGTTTCGCAAAAATCCATTACCAGCATTAAGAATGGCAGAACAACATGTGTTTAAAGAAATTTACAAAGAATCATCTAAATTAATTTTAGAGAGATTTCCGGAATTTAAAAGATCACAGACATTTAATCAACTTTCAGTAGCAACACGCACGGCATTGACTACAAAATATGATGAATATACAAACGCATTAAGTAAATTAAGTAAAATTGAATTCACAACTGGATATTCACATTGTAAGGAATGTAAATCAGAATCAGAACATAATAAAGAGATTAGTGAAAAATTTGAGAGTAGAGTAAGACAAGTTCAAATTCTTCCATTACCATTACCTCCAACACAACCTTCTATTACTAGAAAGATATTATTCGAAGCCATTGGGAATAATATGTGTGATAAACGATTTATGGACTCTCAGTTTCCTAGGAAGTTTAAAAAACATTTTGGGAGGTTTGAACCTTTGGAATGTAAAAAGAACAAAAAAGATAAAGATCAAAAATATTATTTATTTATTGAATTGTCAGAAAGATAATAAATGTATAAAGTAATTTCATATTCTAGGTTTATTTAATTAAAGGATAAATAGTGAACATACAGTACATACAGTACATACAGTACATACAGTAAAGCAGTATAAAAATGTATCATATTTCCACGTAAAAAAGAAAAAACAAACAAAAATCCGTTTTTCATATTTTTTCTAAATTTTGCTTGAATTAGAAATAAAGCTTTTATTTATAATCAATCGTCTTTTACCGTTACGTAATGGTCAGTTTAAAATTTACATAGTCCCATATCTGATATATAACGCTAATAATTTTCGATATATCAGTATATACTGCAGACCGCAGTATATCAGATATCAATACTGCAATATCACGGGATCTAGAAGTTGATTTGCAGATCCCTATAAGTCTGTTTATATAATGTACCCGTACGTTTTCCCAACGCGTTTCTATATAAACAAGTGACGTATTACGTACATAGGTGTAAACTCTCAAACTGTAAATCTTAAATCTTTTAAATACTTGTGATAAATCCTCTTTTTCTTAATGACATACTCTTATAATATACTGTCATAACACACTACGGTTTGTTATTTAAAAATTTTGCATTTACAACACTTTGACGAAAAAATTTCAAAAACTTCAAGTTGGTTTTAATAATAACTAGTTATTTATTTTTTTCTTCTTGAACATAAAAAAGAACTTTTAAAATTTTCTAACGACACAAGAATGGAATCAAGCAACTCGAATAAAGAGAATTACGATCCCGTCAGAAGAATTTTTTCAAATTCCGGTGAAGATGGATATTTACGTCAAAGGGTGATTAAAAATACTTTAAATCCTTCACGAAAACGTGGTCGAAATCCGTTATCTGAAATTTGCACAAACATTTTAGATGAAACTCTAGAAATCGAAGTTTGTATAATTTCTTTTTCAAAATTCACTTGAAATTAAAAAAAAAATTTTATGAATTAATTCATTTTAATATATCATATTAGACCGAAACTATTCAAGAACAAATTACTTATCAACAAGAAGTCAATGCTACAACGACAACAAGGAAAAAAAGAAAAAGGAAGGTCACTAAAGGCCACAAGCAACGATCTGGACGAATGTATATCTAGTATTAGACAAATTCATTGTAAATGAAAAAAGGGTTAATAAATTTGTAACCGTGGTTATTGGGATATTTCATACATTAACGCTAAGTAATCAAGTCTATATAAGGTATTATAATAAAAATTACTATAAAGTACGGATTTTTTTTTTATGTATTATTTGATTTTTTTGCTTCAACCAAATCTTAAAAAGATTCAGCATTAAAACTATCGCAAAAACTTACAAATAAGCTTTACATATAATATGATAAGAACTTTTTTACACAATTACGATTTTAAAATTTCGGTTATCAAAACCTATAGATACCTATAGATAGTGGTGAAATTTATTTTATTTCAACAATAATTTCAGCATTTTTAATATTTTTATAATTTAAATATAAAACCATTATTGTATTTGATTTAGTTTAGTTTTAATTAATTTTAGATATAATTTAAATTGATTTTTAATATTAATAAAAATAAATTTCAACAATTTCGACAAGAATTTTTCATTAGGAAAGATAATTTCATCGCCATTTATAATCAAACCAAATTCATAGCAAACACATGACTTTTTTGATTAAAATGATTAAAACATCTAACGATAACAAAGCCAAGTCTTAAAAAGATTCAGCATTAAAACCATCACAATAAAACTTTATATATAACATAAAGAAAGCTTTCTTTACACAATTACGGTTTCAAATTTTTGGTTATTAAGGCCAATTTATAACGCACGCACATCTTTTAGCTAGAAAATATATATATATACACGTGGCTCTCGATATAACGGACCATTTATATAACGGATATTGCTTAATACGGAGAATTATAATGGAACCAAATTATTTTTATTATAATATTTGATATATCATGAGATTTTGATATTACGGATCTTTTGATACAATGGAGTAAAGGACTGGAACCATGGCCTCCGTTATATCGAGAGCCACGTGTAGCAAACAAAAAAAGAAAATTCCTACTAATGTAATACAGTCGAACCTCTATAATTGCACCCCTTGGGACCAAAAGACTAATTTAAAAAATGTTCATTTAGAGAATGTGTGCATTTATAGAGGGCATTTTTACTATATATGTATCTATATATTTGGGACCATGCCAGAGCATCTATTTAGGGAGAATTTATATATGGGTGATGAAGGACAATTATAGAGGTTCGATTGTAGTTAGAAATGTTTAATTAAATTTTTAAACCGTAACTTATTTTAGCTACACTAAGATTGCCAGAAAAAAAATTGAGCACTTAACATAATTTTGATTAATTAGTATTTGGAATACCCAGTGGTTATATTGTAACCGTTCTGTGTAACATCATATTTTATATTTATTTTTTGAATATTACTAACTATAACCGGTGGTGATTGGGTGCTATATCTCAAAAACCTACTAGCTAATTCATGTCAGTGATACCAAGCATAAATATTCAGAATCTCCAAAAACCTATCCCTATTAAATTTGAATTATTATATACCGAGTCGGTTAAAAGCCCCAAACAGGACAGGACCTTTCGCTAATAATAAAAGTTTTTTATAAATCTACATTGTATTTGTAATGCATCATTTAGTGATAACAGAAAGATCCTATCTGAGAACTTTTTACTATTTATAAGCAATGTTTAATATTAGGAAAAGGTCCTGTTTAGGAACTTTAACCAACCTAGTATAACCCTCCTATTAGGGATGTAGTCGGCTTGATTGGCTTGGCTTGGCTTATGAAGTTATAGCTAAAGCTTAGGTCATCGTTTTAGCAGCTATAATCTAAGCTATGGTTATTAATATATCTTAAATTATAGCCAAGATAAATAAACTGTTTTTTTATTCTTTAAAAACTATTAACCAAATTAGTAAATAAATAAAAATTATATAAAATATCATTTATAATATAAAAATATTACTTAAAGACAAGTAAGCAATTATAGGTATATCAGCTCTACTAAATTTAAAAACAATACTTAGAAAATTAATTTAATATTTTTGTGTTATCTTATAATTTACTATATTAGTAATATATAAAAAATTTTTATTAAATAGCCATTACTATATCTTCTTATAATTAATATAATTACTAAATAACATTTTAATATTAGCTAAAAATACTTTTGTATAATTTAAACTAATATTTTAACTTCTTAATTATTTTCTATAATTATACAAACTTTATCTATAATATTAATATTATATTATATAAAATAGATAAAAAGTTTTTATTTATAATATTAGCTAATAATTTATCTAATTATCTAAGAATCTTTAAAATATTTTAATTTATTATTTTTTTATTTTTTAAATAATAAACAAATTATTTTAACAATATTTAAATATTTTTCTGTATAATAATTAATATATATTTAGATCTTGTTATTATCACTTTAATATAGTTACAACCTTGATATAATTACACTATTTTTTAACTTAAGCTATTATAAAACATATAAAATTTGTCTTTTATATAGTTACAACTTTTTATAATTATCAAATTTTTGTTTTCTAAATTGGTAATTATATTGAGATTTGACTATATATTATATTTTCTATAATTTTTAGCCTATAGCTTTTTTTTATACTTTATTAAATTTGTTTATAGTAATTTGTTTATTGGTTTGCTATTATTTAAACTAATTATAAAGAGATATTAAAAAATAATATTTTTATTTTTAAATTATTTTATATAGCAACTTTAATTTTTTACAACTTTTTTATAGTTTTTTAAAAGATTTTTACTACAAATAACTAGTAGTAATCATTACTACATCTAGATATTTTTAGGGTTAGGGTGTAGTTTTAAAATTTTTTTTATATAATATAATGTAAATTAGATATAAAGTTCTAATTTTAGGTTTTGTAAAGTTTTTAAAGATTCTAAATATTTTTATTTAGAATATCAAATCCAGTTTATTTAGTAAATTTTTAAAATATAAGCATCCTGGTGATAGTTACCACTAGTTGTAGTTATTAAATTTTTTTTTAAAATTAATAATTCTAGATTTTTTAGTATATATTAATAAATATTTTTTTATTAGTAATATATATTATAAAGCAGCCTAAATAATAAAAAACAAATAGGGTGTGGCGACCTAGTGAAGTGGTGGGGTTGCTACACCCCCAAGCGGCAGGTCTAGAGTTCGAATCCCACGGACG